GATTCCCTGTGTGAGTGGTGATACTGGGAGGGTAGAGGAGGGTGGGTTGGAAGGGGAGAACCGATTACAAGGATCTACATGTGACCTCCCTCCCTGGGGGACGGACAGCTGAAAAATGGGTGAAGGGAGACCTGGGATAGGGCAAGATATGACAAAATAAGAATTTATAAATTATCAAGGGTTCATGAGGGAGTGAAAAAAATGAGGAGTTGATGCCAGGGGCTTAAGTGGAGAGCAAATGTTTTGAGAATGACGCGGGCAATGATTGTACAAATGTGCTTTACACAATTCATGTATGTATGGATTCTGATAAGAGTTGTATGAACCCCTAATAAAACGATTAAAAAAAAAAAGCATAGTCTAAAGATTTTTGGTTTGGGGTGAACGTAGGCATTTTAAGAATTCTTCTATCATTAAATTAATATGTATAAAAAACCATATAAATAAATCAACATACCCACATCTCGTAAAACAATTAAAAATTCAGACTCTGGCAGTCCATAGGCATTAGATGGCTCTTCTAAGACAGTATATAGACTCCCACATGGACAAAATTCCATAATAAGTACTTTATGTCTTGAGGTTGTCTGGAGGGGGGAAAATTTTTATATACATATACACATACCACACACACATTATTATTATTATTATGGTAATGCTTGTTAACATGTACAATTTCCAACAACGATAAAGGTGCTTTGCATTTTTCACTTTGGATTCATTATACATTGGTAGACTGTATACATCAAAATTAACATTTTCCCAAGTCTTATAAAGTATAAAGGGCAGATTTGTTTTTAAAGACCACCAAACAACCATGAAAATGGGCTAAATTTGAACTAGAAAATTATTGCTTATAATGAATGCTGTAATGGTTGTTATAGCTATCTTAAATTTCTCACTGGTAAGATGACATTTAGAACAATCAGCTCTTCTAATAAGCGTCTTAAACTCTAGAATTTCTTCTTCAAACAAGTATTTGCCCTTCAAGGAACGGAGTCCTGCCCTCAAAACAAAGGGCGTGAGAGCAGCTCACCGGGCTCTTGTGCAACCAACTTCCCATCTGGTTATCTGTATCTGAGCTGCTGAATTGTCTTACAAATTGATTTTAATGTAGCATTGTTTTTTTTGTATCATAAATTTATTAATAGCTTTATAGGGAAAAATATAGTATAAAATGATATACAAACATTTTTACAAGATGCATGCCAATCTCAGAAACATGAAAACGTAAGTCATTGATTCCAATATTCATCCCCAAGTTTTTTCCTTCTGCTTATAACTTTTTCTACATCTCCTCTGTGGTAGTTACATAATTTCAAGTCAACTTGAAAATATATAAAAGTGTAGGGGTGGAGTCTGGCCTGTCAATCAAGTCACAGCCTGATGGTTCCTCCTTA